ACTCACTGCCATCAAGTTGATTCTGACTCACAGCGACCCCCCCTTGGATTTCTGAGGTGGTAAATCTTTACGGGAGTAGATTGCCCAGTCTTGCTTCCACGGAGTGGCTGGTGGGTTTGAATTGCCAACCTTTTGATTAGCAGTCAAATGTCTTAGGCACTATGCAATCAGTACATATTGAGATAAATAAGTGATTCACTTCTTAAAGATTACAAGAACTACAGAAATGCTGCAGAAAAACTGGTCCAATTTTAGAGGGGAAAATCAGATCAGAAAAATTAATATAAATTACTTGAAGAATTATTAGGTGGGTTTCAGATTATCGTAGGTGTTAATTGTGCTTGTAGGTACATAAAACTGCTTACAATGTATAAAATTAAAGCTTTAAGGGAAATTTCTGCAAAGATGTGGTATAGTAAAGGCAAACAAGTCAGAATAATAATAGATAGACGTTAAGCCTAGGTTAGATGTTATTCTGGTGGCAGAATATTACATGACTGATAATATCCAACACAGGAAAGTAAAGGTAGGAAGTTTTTTTTTTTTTTTTTTTTAAATAATGGGTGCTTTCAGCATACACAGTGTTTGTTGATTCCATCTTTCTCATTATAGGCCAAGAGCCAGAAACATGCACATGAAAAACAAGTTTCTGGGCCAGAAAGCAAAGTAAAAGTAAAATTACAGTTGGAACTCAGATCTAGCAAGCTGAGCTAACTTATCTTTGTTAAAGGTCCTCTGATTAGACTTTTGTGTGGAACTTCCAACATTACAAATTTCTGAACATTGCAAGAATATGGAATGACTCAAATGCTGCTCTCTGAAAGTATACCACCCTCATACGATTTTTAAAAATATGCCATAATTAATTTATTTAGAGAAGACTTCTCCCAATTAAATTTAAATTCACGGATTGTCAATTCTAGATATGTAGCATCCCAGCAAAGTTAAAAATAAGATGTTTCTCCAGCTCTGCTTTGTCCTCCAGAGACTAATGACTCTCTCCTATGAAGTCTGGGATAGAGAAGGTAGGTCTAAGTTAAGTATTATGTCCTGGAAATATCATTGTGCTGGGCCAATTGATAGTAACCACAGTAATCAAAATTGTGCATGGACAAGTACAGCCTTTAACATTTTGGAAGAAGTTGCTACTTGTGTTATTCTTATTTTTTTTCAATACAATTTACTTGAAAAATTTTTTCTCCATCTTGATAGAAGAAGATCAGTAAACATGAAATGTGAATACAAAAGAGCATATGAGTCCTTAAGACACACACTTAAAGAAGATATGGTGTCTATCCTGTTGTTTAGATGAAATTGTTTACATTGTTTAAATGAAATTTTAAACAATTTAAGAAATTTCAAGAACAAGCTGCCAATATTTAATAAAATTAACAATAACAACATTGAACCAAGGTATTTAAAAGTAATTTGTCTTACTTATCTTATAAAATAAAAATAACTACATAAAGAAATGTGTACCCTCTAATAACCCAGAAACAAAGATGTAGGTCCACAAACCCTAAATAAATATTAAGACTTTTAAATATAAATCTCAAGAGTACTGGTTGAATATTTATGCTCATAGTGTTCTTGCTATGGAATAGCAAAAAATAAATATTTTAGGCCTTCATTAATTAATTTGGCCTTGACTTGTTAGGTCCATTTTAACTAAGATATTATTATTCTATAGGACATTTCTATAAGCTAAGAAATTTCAGCCCTAATTGCATTATACAATGTTTTTAATATTCTTCTTAATATTAAAAGAAATTTAAAAAATTACATCTGGCCAAACTTTACTGCACCAAAGTCAAGTGTGGTAAGATCTTCAGACTAAGTACAGAGCTAAAACCAGTCTCTGACTGTGAAGGTAATGAGCATTAGGAAAATAATTCCATAAAAATTATATCAAACCAATTCAACAGTGTGTAAAGCTACTAAATCTAAACTTTAAATACATTATTTTAAATCATTATATAATTGGAGTGTTAAATGTCAATAGCTACTAAAAACGGAATTTAACTTGGTCCTATAAGCAACCAATGAACTATTGTCATTTGCAGATAAAAATTTTAGTTCTTTGCTTAATCCTAAATGTCACCCTTATATGCACTTGAGAAAGCTGACAGATTGCCATTATTTATAAATACTTCTCTTTTGGGAAAGACCAAACATAACTTTTAAAAGAAGTAAACCAAATCTGCTAGCCAGGCTGGGGTTAGGTTATTCTTTTCTTTTATATTTAAAATAAAATATTTTCAAAATCTATAAAAGAGGAATATTTTTTAGAAGAATGTATTCTCAGTAAGTAGAAAACCACCAAGTTAAATATAAAATCCCCAAAAGACTAAACAAAATTAAGAGATTCCAGATTGTGATAACATTTAAATATATTATTAAATGACTGGTAATTAAAGAAAAATATTTGCTTGCATTGAATGTGACTTTGAATTTAATTGTATTCAAGAAATAATTCTCCCAAGGTCACTGTTTTCTTTCTTTCTTTTTTTTTTACTAGACAGTATTTTGTTGAATTTCAGTATATCTCTAATTTTAGTAATAAAATAATACACAATTAGGTTGTTGAGCTGTTCTGCAACTTGTAAACACATATTTCCACATCATTAGCAAATATCTGCAAAACAAGCAAGAAGGTAAAATATGAAACCAATTGGCTAGCTTGCAGACTATAACTATGTAAGCATATCTGTTACAGGAATAATAATAGGGAAAATGCAAATTTTTTTCATAGGAAAGAAGGTAAATATGAAAGCCATAAACCCAAATATAATAATAATATTTGAAGGGGAGGGAAAGGAGTAGCCAACAGATAAATTCAGAAATAAGGAGAAATTCTCTGCTTTTTAAATAACATAGTGTAAAGGTACCATTTTGTCACTGAAAATTTTACTACACATTTCAAAAATATGGCATTTATGGACTTTCTTGCTTTCCAACAGCTGCTGACTCAAAATTTGCCAATTTTATAAGTTATTTAAATGTTCCATATAATATGCCAATGAAAAGATACACTAACAGTTTCCTGACAGATGCAAAATAAAATTATCTGCTGTGAATCTAAAATTAGTTGATATTCAATCAGTCACAGAAATGCTTCTTCTTAAACACTTCATTTTAAAGAGTAGATATTTATAATTGGCAAGAAAGAAAACACAAAGTTGGATGGTATCATGTCTCATTTTATCATACCCATTCTTTAATATCAAATAAAATATTACATTATTTTTAGGACTTCCTTTAAATATTTTAAATATAATTGATTTTTGAAATAAATGCTTTTGCTGCTTAGAAGAAAATATTAATTTCTACTACAGACCAATATTTTTATACTAATTTTAAACCATAACACACTATAACTATGAACACTGAGGTTTTTTTTTGTTTGTTTGTTTTGGTTATACCAAGAAAATATTGACTTCTTAATATAGTCATTCTAACTAATATTCCCATAAACAGATCTTAATGATTAAACAAATGGTAGAATAATGATGAAAAAAATTCTCCAAACCTACTTTTTCTTTAGTCTTCTATCCTTTTCAGCTTGAGTTCCAAGTTTCCCTAACCCCAGGGACTCCTGGGCTGCAGCTTCCGTCTCCATAAACCCTCCTGTGAAGAAACAGCTATTCAAATAAGTTTGTCTACATTGTGTCAATTCTGAATTTAAATTCTTAAAAGTTTAGTCCAGCAATCATTTAATTCATAATTATTAATTTTCTTTTCTATTTTGAATTGTCCTTTTATTCTCAACCCAATATGCAAACTGAGGAAAGGGTATATATGTGTATAGATATAATGAAATAAAACCAAATGAAAAAATGGATGCCTATTGATACACCATTCAGTTTCACTAAGTAGCAACATAGTAAATGTGACCTGTATACAAACAATTGAATATACAATGAGTAGCCTCATTATTTAATTGCAATATTTCATATATTAACAAAAAATGATATGCATTCAGTATACACTTAAATATATAATTTCAACTCCATGTTGAAAGAATGGAGAGGCATTTGTGGGCTTCTGAAAGTTCTTCATGTTCTGGAGCACTTTTCATGTTCTGGCTTACTCCTTTACCCTTCAGCATAAACCTCACTTCCAGAACATCATGTGTTCCAGACAGTAATTTTCTTTTTCCATGCTGTTGTTCTATTTTTACTTTATAATAATCCTTGAAATTTTCTAAATATTTTTTCAGCAGACAGTTGTAAAACTAGTGCTTACTAAGAAGATCACAAATTACTTGGTTTAGTATAAGTAAGGCTACAGGATATCTACAATATGTACAACCTTGGAATAAAAATGGGAAAAAAGAAAAGTATGTTGGGCACCAAACACTGAGTTACACATTTCACAATGCAACAATTTCACTCAGGTTCTCTCAACATATAATTAATTAAATTGATCAGCTTACTCTTTGGTATTTGCTAAATTTGAAAAACACGAAGATAAATGTCAAATGACCATTTTTACGTAGGCCGAGGTAGATGGAGTCATGCCTAAGGCATTTGATTGCTAACCAGAAGGCTGGTGGTTCAAACCCACCAGCCACTCCACAGATACCATACAGACATGTCTTTGGATTCTTTTGAAAGGTATATATAAGGAGCCTTGATGGTGCAGTGCTTACGTGTTCACTTGTTAACCGAAAGGTGGGCAGTTGGAACTCTCCAGCAGATGTGTTAATTTGCTTCTGTTATGATATATTATTATGTTTTCTAAAGTTTCTATCCACTCATTGTGACCCTGTACAGACAGCATAGAACTGCCCTATAAGCTTACAAGGCTATAAAACTTTATGGAAGCAGATTGCCACATCTTTCTTCCGCAGAGCAGCTGGTGGGTTTGAACCGCTATATTTTCAATTAGCATCAGAGCTCTTTAACCACTGTCTCACCAGGGCTCATTTCTGTAAAGATTATACCTTTGGAAACCCTATGGGGCAGTTCTACTTTGTCCTATAGGATCCCTATGAGTCTGAATCCACGGCAATGGGAAGGTATGTATATAAAAAAATATATTTATAAGTATAAATATATTTGCACATAAATGGATTGTTGTTAAACATCATTTAAGCTCAAGATTAGGTAGAATGATTTAAACTAAATCTTACAAGGACTAAACTATAAAATCTCATCAATATGTCAATTAATAAGAATCATTAAAGACAACATTCATCTACTATCACTGTAACCCACATATCCTTATTTAACATTTGCAGGACTTGACCAGGGTATTGTTGTTCTTTGCCAAAAATATCTTACTGAAGCCTCAGAGGAAAATATTGTTAATGCTTCTTATGATTTATTTTAGTAACTAATTTGTGATAGTCAATCCTGTTAATTCTGGAATACTGACACAAATATGTAAATCTCATAGCCTGAACATCCTGATACAGACTCTTTAACGGAAAACACATTGATTGCTGCCTAGATCTAATTCAGGGATTTGGAGTTTGATGACAAAAATTTAATTTACTCAATTATACATGTTGTTGTTATGTGCCATCGAGTCGGCCCCGACTCATAGCGACCCCTCCTTGGGTTTCCGAGGCAGTATCGCTACGGAAGTAGGATTGCCCAACCTTCCTTCCGAGGAGTGTCTGGTACGTGTCACTAATGTTTTAATTATGGAATTTTCTTATAATGAAATACATTCAATGTTGGTATCATTAGAAACACCATTCACTGGCAGACTAAACAACTTTTGTTTTTTTTTCTAAATATAGGAATTTCTATTATGCACAATATGCAAATATTTTCATTTTTTTTCCTCATTTTTATATCTGCCTTACTGAATCCATAAGCTATTACTCACAAACTATAACTAATGATAATTCTGTTCTCTTAAACATATCTCTTACATGGAAACTAATTATTTAGTTAAAAGTTATAAAATTCTTGATCAGTCCAGATTGGGACTGGAGATTGATGAGGTAGACCCATTCAATGAATGATGAAACATCTTCAACTACCAAGTGAGTGGATGAATCAGGTTTTTTATTATTATGAGCAAAAAAAGAAGAATACCAGCCACTCCTCGGAAGGAAGATGGGGCAATCTACTTCCGTAGTGATACTGCCTCAGAAACCCAAGGAGGGGTCGCTATGAGTTGGGTCTGACTCGACGGCACATAACAACAACAACAACATAAATCGTGATTTAAACTTTTTCCAGAATACAGCATTTTAATAAGAAAAGGAACCTTTTAAAAATAATAAATGTACTAGAAGAGGAGCAAATGATAATAATTTAACAACAACAAAAAAAAGCTCTAGAAGAGTTACATGAGTCAAAACTAGATCCACAAAAATAGACACTAAAATTTTCTTAGCATAAACCAGTTTATAAAAATAAAAAGGATGAAAAGTTTGGGAGCAACATCATTTGTTTTCAAACAATTTAACAGAGAATTGGGGTCACATCATGTTTGAAAATGCAGAATAGAAAATGGTACTAAGACCTTATCAAGTAAAACTATTATTAAGCAGCACATGCAAGACCCTGGTAGCACAATGGTTAAGTTATAGGCTGCTAACTGAGAGGCTGGTGGTTTGTACCCACCAAGTGGCCTGTGGTAGAAAGACCTGGTGATCCGAAAGTATGCTTTTTCATCTCAAGAAAATATTTCTGAATAAAAAGGACATTTGCTCACAGAATTATCCAACTACTCATGGATCTTATCTTCATTTTTCAGTATTCATGACCAGCTAACTGGGAAAAGTGATCTTGATCAGACAAGCTTTATGAAATCTGTTTCTTACTCTGTCATGGTTATCTAAATCTGTGAGTCTACCTCATTCTTGTCTAGGTGCCAAGGGGCTCATAGACATCTGCGGACATCAAGAATTATTTCAGCTATACCAACATGGTAGTCACTAACCACATGCAACGAGTGAGCACTGGAAATGTGCCTACTAAGTGCTGTGCGTGTAAAATACACACCCTGGGATTTAAAAACTTGGTGCAGAAAAAAGAATATAAAATATCTCATACTTTTATACAGATTACTTATTGACATGGCAATATTTTGGATATATTGAGTTAAATAAAGCATATTATTAAGATTAATCTCACCTGTTTCTTTATTTTTGTCTTAATGTGACTATAAGAAAATTATTTACCCATTGTTGATTCTCATTATGTTTCTTTCTGGCAATGGTGTATACTAGTAGTTCTTACTAGAGAGAGTATCACTCCCCAGAGCTGATTGAGAATGTAACTATTTGTTAATTTTTGTATTGGGGTGGCATTGTTGGATGTCAAATGAGGGCAAACTACAGCTGGTATATATTGGACAGAGGAAAGGGATTCTAAATATCCTTCAAAGATCAGGTAATCTCCTAGCTTGTCATTCCCAAAATGGCAAGAATGCCCCACTTAGAAATACTGGCTTGTGAAAGCCAGGAGTTGCTCACCCACCAGAAGGCCTATGAGGAAACAATGTGGAGAGGACTTGTTCCCTTCTCACAGCTTGAGGTGATCAGGCATGGAAGGCCTGAGTCTCAAGTTTCAGTGGAGTACTCGGAAAAGATCGCTTATCATTTTGTCAGGGGCCCCCTAGTGCTTGCACATGCATAAGCCATTGTCATTGCTTTCAGTTAAATTCCCTGAACCATGTGATTACCACCCCAAACCAGAACAAACAAAACCAAATCACTACCGTTGAGTGGATTCCTACTCATAGCGACCTTATAGGACACAGTAGAACTGTCCCACAGGGCTTCCAAGTCTGTAAATCTTTATGGAAGCAGGCTGTATCATCTTTCTCCTGTGACTACAGACCTTTTGGTTAGCAGCTGGAAAGCTTTAACCCCTGTGAAAGTGGGGCTCCTTGATTACACCGAAGTACACTTAATTTTGCAAGGTTTTTGAGGAATCATAATGTTGGAGACAGGACTGGCCTAGAGCATGTGGGTTTCGTCAAATATCTATCTATCTATCTATATATATATATAGATAGATAGATATATATATATATTTGCCAGCAGATCCTTTTCTATACAAATAATCTACCCCATTACATTGCTGTCAAGTTGATTCTGACTTCCAGTGACCCCTTAGGTGAGGTGTAATTCTATTTTTTTAAAAATCTATGATTCCTAACTATATAAGAAATACATAAATCAGATGTATGTACTGTCAAAATGTTATGCCCAGATGGTTTGGGACTATGCTGATTAAAAATAGAGTAAATCCTAATCATACCACAGGAAGCCTCCCTTCCACTTTAATTCCACTCCAATTAACAGCATCACTCTACTTTTCAGTACTTGTCGGGGAGGATTATTTACCCACATAATAGTTTCATCACCTAGCCCCCATTTTGCCATCTTGTGTACTGGGATGTTATGAGTCACACAGCTCACTAAGTGCTTTTCATGATCCCTTAATGAATAACTCTGTCAAAGAAACAAATGAGTTTATCTGACATGGCTATTTTTAACACAACTTAATCTGCTTGTTTCAAAATCGGTAAAACCCAAAAAATAACTTACTGCCATTGAGTCTGATTCGACTCATAGCAACCACTCCTTGAGTTACCGAGACGGTGTAGTTATTTGCCGTTGAGTCGGCCCCAACTCATAGCGACCCCTTCTTGGGTTT